TAAAGTTTTGTATATACAAGAGCATCATGTCAAAAGTTACAAAACATATCTGACAATCAAAATCAATTTAATTAACACACTTGTATTTGCCTTCAAGTTGAAAATAAAATAACACAAAATCTCATCCATCTCTAAAAGCTGTTTAGGTGAGACAGGAAAAATTTAATCCAGAATTGGAACATCTATCAATATGATATGATACAACATCCTATCCTAGAGAAAATTTCTACAGGTTTATTTTCAATGCTTATTACCAGAGTCAGAGAATGAATTGCAATACATGTAGCTTACACATACACTAGAGATACAAGCAAATTTGAGATATTAAAACTCTATTGAAAATCATGTATAACATGAGATTCCAATTACAAGATGGTACATTTTGCACCCATGCTGGTGTGAGCAGAGGTGTTCAGACTGCCATTCAATGTCACTGTTGAATTAGATTTTTCTTTAGTTTTCAGTTTCTTGATTTTGCTCTCCTTTTTGTTCTTCCCTTTCAGCAGCACCTCCCTGTTTACAGCATCAGGCTGTACTCTCGCTGGGGTACCTTTTCTTTCTGCCAATTTTCCACTATGAGGCAAAGGAGAGCTCAACTCAGGGGAGACAACCTGTACAGTTTTTTGAGAATTTCCATCTTGGTTTTCTTGAGTTTCAATTTTGGATTCTTTTTCTTTATTGGAATCTTCATTCGGTAGTGAGATCTTTGTCAGTTTAACCTGAGGTGTCATATCTGCTGACATTTTAGTTGTTTTCTTGGCAGACCTTGCCAATCTCGGGGTCTTCATGGGTGTTTTAAATTCCATGGACTCATCAAGGGAAGTATCTCCACTTTTACCATCAACACTACTTTTTGACTTAGCTGGAGTTTTCCGTGCAGACTTTGTGGATTTTCCAGAAGAGGTTGCTGACACTGCCTCGGTCACTCTGACCTTCTTAACCTGAGGCGTCTCATTGGAAAGATCCATTTTCCGTTTTACTGTCAATTTTGGACTTTTTGGAGTCCTTTTGTCCTCTTTCAGTTCTGGTGTCAATGTCACTTTGGATTCCATTACTTTTGAGGCTGTATCATTTACTACACTGTCATCTTCTGATTGCTCAACATTTCTCTTCCTGGTGCTTCTTGATAAGGCTGGAGTTCTGTTCTTCCTCTTGGTTGCAGATCTGAGTTGTTTGGAGGCAGACTGTGCTGGTGTCTTCTTCTTTATACTTCTGGGTGTAATCTTTGGTGAGCCGGGTTTAACATCCTCCATAGACTTTGAAGCTTGACTCACTGGGGTCTCTTTGACACTTCCCCTTTGTTTTCTTGAGGAGATAGGTTGTGTATCCTCTGAGGCACTGGATACTGGTCTAGCAGGAGTCTTGAATACAGCTTCCACATTCTCAAGAACAACTTTGGGCTCTTCTGTGGATTTGGCAACAGATCGTCTTGGTGTTTTTCTTAACTTCTTTTGCACTGGCGTGTTAGAGTCCTTTTCTTCAGATTTTGATGTATTTGGTTGAACAGATTTTCTTTTTCTTGCTGCCTTATTAGATTGAGGAGATGAAACTTTTCCATGTAGAGAAGTTCTAGAAGACCTTTCGGGTGATTTTGGACATACAGACCTGCGAGTTGACACTGGCTTCTTTGTCTCTGCAGTTTCTTCTTTTTCCTTGGTTCCTGTCATTTTCCTGGTTTGACCACTAGCTACCGTCTTCTGGACCTGAGAACAAGCTTCCTGTAGAGTTTTACCTTTCTGATAAACAGATGACCGCCTGGTGCGCGTCTTTACTCCGGGTGGGGATACAACTTTTCCTGGGCCTTTCTTTGGTTTCTCCTGAGGGGTCACTGCAATGGTTAGCCTTATCCCTCCTTTTCTGCTATGGACGTTGAATATGGAGGACCGTCTGGATCTGGTACCTATGGGAGAGGACCTAATGGGCTCAGGGAGTTTGAACATTGTGTGTCTCCTGGAGTTGGTGGTTTTCTGCGTTGCTGTTCCTGTTGGAATGACTGATTTCCTGCAAAAATATATATAGATTGAATAAAAAATTATATAATGTTCAGTCCTTTGCAACTGCTTCTACAACAAATTTTATTTTTCCAGAGTGTATAGCATGCACTATGAAAAGATTTTTAAAAACATTTCGGGCAGCTGAATTCATTAGAGTTTATAATGATATAACAAACTATATGAATTTCAAATACTGTTACAGTGTAAATGGGGAATAAACACAGTTTTTGTTCAGTGAAAATAACTGTTTTTGCCATAGATATATATAAATCAGATCTTATACAATTAAATAGGCAAAAATTATATTTATACAAGGTACACTCTATATTTGCATGAAAACTATCATTTTTGTTTTTTATGTTTAGGTTAAGAGAAATATTTTCACTTTTAATACTGTAGATCACTTTATTTTCGCGACACTTTATTTTCGCGAGATAGTCATTGACTCTTTATAAGCGGTGTGGTCGTCGCTCTATATAATCTCAATGAATTCTTTTATACGCAAGAATTAAATTTTCACGAGCATATCGTCTCGCGTAATTACGTGAAAATAAAGTTCTCGCGAATAAAAAGTGATTTACAGTAGATCTTGAAAACCTCATGGGCAGAGGTGTGAAAATCAAGTTTTCATTTGTGATACAGGATTTTTTTCCTTTCATTTTTTTTATTGTGCTTTACACTCAAAGAAATATCCAAAATCCTGTTCTACTCATGAAATAAATTCCATATCCAACTAAATAACATGGAACATGAATATCCTATCAGTGCCAAAAATGAATAATTGATTTTAAATTAATCTTATATGTATTGAACAATTGAATGTTTTCAATCTGCAAGTGCATTTTCTTTTCTTTTTTTCCTTTGGACAAAGCAATGTCTCTTTTTTTTTTATTTAGAGCTGCTTTTATTTTCTATTGCTTGTATTCTGCTTTTTCCTTTTAATCTCTTGTACAGAACTTTATAACTCTTGACATACTGATAAAATCTTATCCACAAAGGCCCTCCTTTATTTTTATACAAGTATTGTAATTTCATGTACTACTTTATAATAAAAAACCAAAGAGGAAAAACTCCACACCTTTTAGACTAAGATAATAATTTTACAACAATTTTTTTTCCTTCAGGGCAAATCTATAACAAGTTCATGTTAGTTTATTCTCACCTTCCTTTGCGAACATTGTTTAGCGGAGATTCTTCTAACTCAAATTTCATCTGACTTCCAGACACCCAGCCAGGAGTTTTAGGACTGTAAAACTGGGTAGTGGACATCCTGTTGTGAGGAAATAGCATTATGTGTATACAAATATGTATTTATAATAAATCATTCTCTTCTAAAATGTTTGAAATTTGTCCATTCGAAGATTCATATAAAAGACAATATACACTGTAGTTTATGTACATGTTTTATATATATGCAAATAATCTCTTCAAATGATGAATAAGTTACCCTGCTGATTTCTCGGGGGTTTTGGGGGGACCTCTTCTCCGTGGGGTTCTGCTGGACACACCTGGCATGGTTAGACTTACCCTTAAAATATAATGACAACATAAACAACTGTTTGAAAGCTCAAAAGGATGAAATAAACTTGACTAGAATTGTTTTTTTAATAAATATTTGTCTACTAGATCACGTAGATAAAATTTTATTACATTTTTACCAGTGTAATACTGTAATTTATTCATTGAATAAAAATGATGTTCTGTCACAGTGTGACAGGATATCAAAATGATATCCTTTCACATTGTGACAAATATCAGAAGTGCGGGAAAACTCACGAGTTTTCCTCCCGATAACAAAGAGTGTTGTAAGAAATATTCCTTGGCTTGTTATAAGACAAAGAACGAGTTAATAGACAATTTTGACAGAGATAAAGACAGCGAACATTCCCCCAAATATGTTGCTGAAATTCATGTTTACAATGTTTCTCACTCAGCAATGATGTCTCAACTGATTAACTATATTTTATGACGAGTTGTAGCCTAAAAGTCTGCATTACAAAAAAAAATGTGTGCAAAGGGAAAATCAAAGAAAATGTAATAAACAGAAAATTCAATGTGTTGTCATTGAAAATGAAATTTATTTCACTCATGAGTTATGATTTTTTTTTATATTTTCACATGTGCTTCGCACTCGTGAAAATATCAAAAAATTCTGTCCCACTCGTGAAATAAATTCATTTCCATATTCAATGACAAAACATTGAATATCCTCTATATATCATTCATATCACCCCCCCCCCCTTTTTTTTAAATAGTACATCATTTTTACACGTGTGCAGCATTAAACATTTCAAAATAATTCTAGTTCTAGGCCTATAAACATTCATTATTACATTACATCATTGCATATGTTCACAGTTGCTCATGTCTATTTATGCATTTTTTTTTTTACAATTAGGGCCTATGAAAAATTGAGATTGGAGCTTTAGCAAACATAGATCTAGAAATTCACAACATGTCCCTATGACATGTTTGATGGCCTATCTCTTCCCCACCATCCTTCATTTCATTTTGTTTACATTCGAGATGTGGATTTACAAACATCTGTTTCTGATATCAAATAAAAGCTATATTATAAAGAAAATAAATATGATTCAAATGCAACTTCTGATAGTTAAAAATACTGGATATACTTTTACTTATCTTATTTCAAAAATAATATAAATATGCTTCACACTTACTCTCTTTCCGAATTCGCCGCCGGAACTATATGAAATTTAAACTTCTAGCGTTATCCATATAAGGAACAACAATGGCGATGTTGTGGTTATTTGACCAATGAGAAGTCAAAAATAATAAATTTCAAATGAAAACTGATATATCACTCCGCTAGAACGAAATACGCGTGCTCGATAAATGATAGACTTTTACGTTTTAATTATTTTTTGTTATAAGAAATAGAGGAAATAAAATGTATGAAAAGTGTTTAAAATAATTTAATATAACAAAACAGCTACTACTCAAAACGTGCATACATTTTTTAAAGAACTATATTTTTTATCGAACGGTTTTTACAGAAGAGTGTTTTTCGCCCACGAGTATTCGCGCTTTGACTTTCTAGTAGGAAATGTGAAAAAATACCCCGGGTTTATAAATTTATCGTGCAAACAAAGGTAAGTTTTTGACAAATTCATATCATAGCTTAAAACCATGCTACTCATGTTGGAAAACAGCGACATTTAAATGAAAATCATGTAAATTGCATGTTGTGTATTTCATGTATTTTAAAAGCGTACCATAAGCAATGCATAATGAAGTTTCAGAGTCTGAGAGATGTGCAACATTGATCACATTTTTATATTTCTTAATTTTATTTACTGTAGATGTTTCACAATTAAAAATATTCGTCAGACTCTTTGTAGGAATCCATGTAACAGTTTACCAGCTGATCGAATGTTTGTAATTCGCGGCAGTAAACCTGTGTTATTAATATTTTACAAGTCAGGACTGGTCCCTGTGAATTGTTTTGAAGATTCTGTACACGTGTTTAAAATAATTCTACAAGGTTATATGAAATGGAACAAGGTTGACATTATTAATATATGCTCTTGTTTTTATGTGCAGATGTTACATGGAAAAATTGTTGTAATAAAAAGGTCAGGTGCAGATGGAGCACAGTTTCCTTTGACTGCTGAGACCTGTGTGTTTGGCAGGTATGAAACAAAATGTTTTCTGGCAATATTTTATAAATCTTGCAGATTTTCATCATTCCCTAAGGGTATATATAATAATCGAACATAAGTCTTTGATTTAATTTCTGATTATAAAGCAAAACATTAAACCCTGTAGACATAATACATGCAAGACAGGGCTATAAAATTTATTCTTTTGTTGTTTATATGATGATTTCTGTAAAACAGGTCCAGTGAATGTGACATAAGAATACAGCTGCCAAATGTATCAAGGGAACATTGTCGAGTGACTGTGGAAAATGGTGCGGTAAGTATGGGATCATCAAAAATAATGAAAAACCAAATCACTTTATGTGATAATACCATGCATGCTCACAGACTAACACTTACAAGATATTTTCATGTCAAGTTAAGGTAATTAAATGCCTGTATTAATATATGACAGGGTCATCTTTGAAAAATTTGTTTGGAATCATTACCTTGGGAGGGTTGGGTTCAAACCATTATAGCCTTTAATTTAAAAAAAAATATATTTGATGTCCTTTTAAGGTATATCTAACTAATCTGAGTGACTCAAATCCCGTGTCACTTAATGGAAAAGTTCTGGATGGAAAGAAGAAACTCTCCAACAAAGATGTCTTCACAATCATAGACAGATCATTTAGGCTCGAACTTCCTGAGAACATGCGCAGTGCATCTCCGAAGAAGACCCCTGTCAAATCTCCACACAAGGTATTTTTAGCAACTGCATGCTTTATTATACCCTGCTTGAAAAGTGGGAGGGATAAATTGATCAGGATGTCCATCCGTCCGTTTGTTTTTATTTTGTTCATGTGTTTGTGTGTGATACTAGATCTGCTTAGAATCAATTGTATAATTGATAGTTTGCACTTTTATGAATGGTTGCATTTAAATTGCATGTTGAGCATGAATACTGTAGAATCACAAATTTTCGTTGGGATAAAATTTCATTGTTTTGTTGCCTAGAATAGTTTCGTGGGGATTTGATTTCGTTGTTTTGAAAGTGTCCCTATACAATATATATGTCATTTAAAAATTTTGTGTGGGATTTAATTTCGTTGATAATTGTTAACAACAAATAAACAAAATTTAATCCCCCACGAATATTTCTGCTTTTACAGTATTCAGATTTAAAAAAAAGAATGAAAATAAAACTACATTTTAAATTGGTCAGACCAACATCTGCAAAGTTGTAAAGTTTGTCTACAATTTGCAGAAGAAAAAGAGACATCCTTTGATAATTTTAAAAGGTATAACCGTATGAAACCAAAAGAAACAAAATATGGTTAAAAAAATATTTTTCAAATGTAAAACCACATGAATGGGAGATATTAAATTTCAAATTTTCATCACTGGCATAATGCTTTCATTGATTGTTCAATAGTACTGTAGATGCTACTCTAAATGTTCAAAACAATTTTCATACCTGGGAAAAAAATAGATTCTTTTATACTTTTAATTCATTTTTGAAAAAAGTTAAATTATGAAAATAGAAGTACAGTAATTCAAATAAGTAAACGGTGTAGGGAGAAAGAAAAGAATTAAAATTATTGTTTTTGATTGCAATCATTAATAGTTTTAACAACTTTAATTAAATGTTTTCTTCTTGTGTAAGAAAAATTTTAAAGATGACGTTGAAATGTTACAGAATAATCAGGAACTATGAGCTTTAATTTAATCCTTGCAGATGAAGGCAGACTCGAAAATCCTTACCCCTAAGGTAAAACCACCAATTGGAACACCTCAGAAGCCTAATACTCCTTCTGCCAAAAGCCCTAACAGGCGTACTTCATTAGCTGCACCCAAGTCTCCAAGCTCAAATACCGCTGCCACTCCAAAGGCAAAAGGAAGATCTCCTTCGCCAAAGAAAACACCAGCGTCGAATTTAAAGTCAGCGGTACTTTCAGAAACGCCAGCAAAATCTCCAGTAAAGAAGGTGGCAACCCCAAAATCTCAGCCCAGGTCAAGAAGTTCTTCACCAAAGGCAAAGGTAACCCCTGCTAAAACTCCAAAATCAGGTAGAAAATCGAGGAGTGCTTCACCGAAAACCAAGACACCAAACAGGTCACCCAAAGCCAAGACCCCAGTGACATCCACAACGCCAGCTAAAGCTACTGAGGAATCCAAGACAACACCTAAAACAGGGAAAAAATCAAGGAGTATATCACCAAGAGCTGATACACCTGTAGTGGCAAATCCAGCAGAACCTGCAGAGATTCAGTCAACCCCTAAACCAGGCAGGAAATCTAGAAGCACCTCTCCTAAGTCCAAAACACCAAAAAGTGCAACTCCGAAAACAAAGTCTCCTGGGGCCAAGTCACCTGCAAGAAGTGCATCTCCTAAGGCTAAAACCCCTAAAGCCAAGTCGCCTGCAAGAAGTGCATCTCCTAAGGCTAAAACTCCGAAAGTTGCAACTCCTAAAGCAAGTTCACCAAAGGCTAAGTCACCTGCAAGAAGTGCATCTCCTAAGGCCAAAACCCCCAAAGTTGCAACTCCTAAAGCCAAGTCACCTGCAAGAAGTGCATCTCCTAAGGCCAAAACACCTAAAGTTGCAACTCCTAAAGCAAGGTCTCCAAAGGGCAGGTCACCTGGAAGGAGTGCTTCTCCCAAGGCAGAAATCTCTGGAACTGTATCTCCAAAGGTACAGACACCTGTAGCTTCAACTCCTGTCAAAGAGGCTAACGTAATTGCAACCCCTAAGTCTGGTAGGAAATCAAGAAGTGTATCACCTAAAGGCAAGACTCCTAAGGCTTCACCAAAAGCCAAGACACCTGCAAAGTCTACCACTCCTGTTGTCGGGGAACCAAAACAAACTCCAAAATCAGGTAGAAAATCAAGGAGTGTATCACCTAAAGCCAAGACCCCCAAGGCATCTCCTAAGACTCCTGTAATATCTACTACTCCAGTGGTAACTTCTGAAGAAGCTTTGTCCACACCCAAGTCAGGTAGAAAGTCCGGAAGTGTTTCTCCAAAGTCAACAACACCTGCTGCCACTCCAAAATCTGCACAGAAGGCCAGATCACCTAAATCCAGGAGCCCCTCCCCAAAGGCAAAGACACCGGCTAAATCACCGGCTACTACTCCTAAAGCTACTAGTCCTGGGAGGAAAACGAGAACTCCCTCCCCAAAAGCTGCTGCATCAGTAAACACCACTCTGGAGTCTCCAAGCACCAGCGGATGGACACCAGTTGGTAAGCAGTTGAAATAAATTGTAAAGTTATAATTTTAAATAATTATAATAAAAAATTTTAACTTGGTGGTAGTTTAACTTTAAAAAGATTGATTTGATTCATGAATATTTTTCTGTGTATAGAAGAAGTAAATGATAATGAACTTGAGCTGACACTGTGATGTGTATGTTCTTAAATTTTAACCCTTTGATTTGATTTTTTTTCTTTCAGTGAACAAAAAGAAAATGGAAAGAAGAGTAAGTAATAAAAAGAAAAAATAATAATTTTAAGCAGTGGTATATTTTGATATAAAATTGAAGTAGTGAATTAATTAGTGTTGTTTTAAACAGAGGTGAACATTTAGCTGAAGTGAAAGGTGTTAATTAGTGCTGTCATTCACATTTTTGTTCATCCCAGTAAATAGCTGTCAGTGGTGAATTTATCAAGCCTTGATGTCTTCACTCAGTGTCAAACAGTCATTGATAAAAGAAAGTTTGAGTGTCTTGAATATCATTTAGTTTAGGCCATGGTGTTGTGTACATACTTCTTGAGTGCTCTCTATAACAAGGAATTTATTTTATTAATTTTAGTCTCTGCCAGTTGGAGGACCATTAATAACTACAGGTACAGTAAGAGATTATACATATATTTAAAATATTGTTTGTAATTTTTAAAATCATAATAAAGTAAAAAAATACTGAATGCAATTTTATATAATAAATACACCATGTTAATTTTTTTGTGTCTGAGATTTTTGGAAACTGCATCAGTCTTCACGAAAACTCACTGGTCCGAAGACCGAGGCCAGTGAATTTTGATGTCGGGTCAGTGAAAATCAAAACTCAAGAAGTCCGATGGGCTTGTTGATTATAAAATCATACACTGTCGATATATATTTTAACTGACTTACTTGCATAAATTTCATTAATATTTAAAATAAAAAGAACAAGCATGTGTTGTTGAATCGTATTATGATAACCCTATTCGAACATGGATGTATTACGTAACAACCGGAACTAGCTAGTTACTATTAACTAGTACGTAAAATGTTCAAAAATTCCAACGAACAACTTACCGAAACGCGACAAAGGACGAAAAATGGCGGCATTTCAAAAGTTGAAGTATGTAAACATGATTGTTTACTGTAAATCACTTTTTATTCGCAAGAGCTTTATTTTCGCGTAATTACGCGAGCTGGTATGCTCGCGAAATTTAATTTGATTCTCGCGTATAATGGAATCCCTTAAGATTATATAGAGCAATGACCACAATTCGTGAAAATTTTGTCTCGCTTATAAAGAGTCAACGACTATCTCCAAATAAGGTGTCGCGAAAATTTAGTGATCTACAGTAAATTAACAGTTATGAAAATGTATTTATTTTATTACTAGTTTTTTATTACTAGTATTTTATTAGGGGCCAGTAAAAATTTTGGTGGGCCAGTAAAGTTTGAAAGTTCACTGGTCCGACTGGCCAGTTAGTTTGAAAAGTTTTCGTGAAGACTGCTGCATGTGCAATATATGTATCTTAGGCCTACAAACTATAAATTATGTAAAATGACTTACTTCATTCAAATTGTTGAGGAATAAAAACAATGCATGAATATTAATTTTCATATTTTACTTCAGCATTGCCTAAAACACCTGTAAGTTCTGGAAAGAAAAGAAAGTCTACAGAAACTTTGGAGTCCAAGTCTAAACGATCAAGAGTGTCCTTCGGACCCAAACTGAGTCCTGAGCATTTCTTGAAGACTCTTCCTCCATCAACACCTGTAAGAAAAGGGGCAACACCCAAACGGCAGACAGCCAGCACAGAGTCACTGAAACCACTGCTGAAAAGGAAATCTATTGCTACTGCCAAAAAGTCACCTATTAAAGAGGAAAGTCCACATAAATCTCCCAGGGCTAGAGGCCGTTCTCCTGGAAGTGCAAAGAAAGGAAAATCTCCACAGCCTAAAGCAAAGAGTCCAAGGGCCTCACCAAAGGCTTCAGCTGAGACAAAATCCCCAGAGGTAAAGGCTGTCACCCCAAGCCCCAAGAGCCCTAAAAGCAGATCACCAGCAAAGGCAGCAACCCCCAAAGGTGCATCACCCAAGACACTTCAAGAAACACCAGTTTCCACACCAGTAGCAGCATCTTCTCCCAAGTCTCCAGCTCAGCAGAAGTCACCAAAGGCAAAGTCTCCTGTGCAGAGTAAAACTCCACAACCTAAGTCCTCTAAAGCTACCCCCAAAAAATCACCAAAAAGTCCCAAGAAGGCTGCATCTACAGGATCCTTGGATGAATCCATGGGACTGGATAATTTGTTTCAGTCACCAAGTGTGGTTGCAAGTACCCCAGCTGCTGGTAGCAATAAAAGGAGGAGATCAGCTGTCAGCTCTCAGTCAAAGAAGAAAATGGAGGGTGACAGAAGAGCAAGTACAGGAAGTCTTGCAGGTGTTAAGAGACTACTAAAGACCCCTAAAAGACTGGCAGACACCAGCTATACTGGCATTTCTGACATGATGGAAACTCCAAAATCTGCTTCAGGAAAGAAGACTACTCCAAAGGTCAAATCTGCCAAGACTCCTGCAGAGACAAGTTACACTGGCATTGCTGAAATGATAGCTACTCCTAAACAAAAGGTGGCCTCCGCAAAGAAGAAGACACCCAGGATAATTGTTGCTTCCCCAGCTGTACAGAAAATTGATGCTCCTATGGCTGATCTGAGGAAAGCAGTTGCCATCCGAGCCATTCATGGCAAGGGAGCGACCCCAAAATTGCCTAAGATGGCACCTAAAAGCTGGGCAGATGTAGTGAAGAAAGGTGTGCCCAAAAAAGTGGTTCCCCCACAAGCCAAGAGAGTTATGCATTTGAAGAGAATAGCAAAGAAGAGTGCCAAGAAGAATACAAGGAAGGTATGTAACAGTATTTCACAGAAAATTTTTTTTTCTTTTCTAATGAATGGTACCAGGCACAGACATCTGACGTTATTTATTTTCTAATTAAAATAAAACACCCACCCCCCAACTATATAAAGTTCTTTATAGAATTAGGGGATAATATTTTTTTTATATAAAAAGAAAAATTTTACAATGGCTTGAACACAAAGTTAACGGTATTCAGTGTGAAAGGTGAAATTTGCTAAAATCAAGTATCATTTTTTATACATATTTATCCTCCAAATATATAAAGTGTTATTTCAGCAACAGCTAAAAATACTAACAACAGTAAAATTTATAGATTTTTTGCGTACATTTCAGTCCATTGCCAAGACACCCAGAACCAAGGCAAGGGCCACTGCACCAACAACTGGACATGCAGATTCACCAATGACTATTGTCATAGGCAAGAAGAGAGTCAAAACTCCTACTGCTCTACCTAAGAAAGGAAGAAAATCAGTTGGAAAGTCAAAGGTATTTTTTCCTGTACTATTTATAGTGTTCCTTGTTTCCCATCTTGGAATCGGAAAGTGTCATAATTCTACAACATTTCTAAGGAAATGTCATATTTGTATTCTACCTTGTAGGCAATAAAGAACAAGGCAGTAAGCCCATCAGGAGTCCAAGAATTGTTTGCCACGCCCAAAGGGAAATCCCCAACAGGCACTCCACTGAGTACAGGAACCCCCCACTCTCTATTCTCTGACCTGCCAGACACTCCCGTTGGACCTGGAGAAATGGCCGTGTCACCTCTGTCAAACAGCGTTGCTGCAGCAAGTCCTCGTCTGGGTGGCATGAAGAGGCTCTTTGCTCAGCCTAAAAATGTACAGTCACCTAAAAGTCCACTGGGAATCAAGGATTTGATGAAGGTATAAAAAAAATATATTTAAAGAAGCCTAACATGCTTATCTTCAAAATTCTAACAAGTTTTCTGTAGCTTTTGGAAGAGCTCTTTAATAAAATTTGCTTTTGAATTTCAGACTCCTGGATCTTCAAGACCTTCATCAGCCAAGAAGAGTCCTAAAGTTTCATCAACCAAGAAAGCAAAGAGTCCAAAAGCCTCATCGGTGAAAAAATTGAAGAGTCCAAAGTCCACAAAATCGAAATCCCCGGCAACTAGGTAGTGATCAGTTTATGTACATAGAGAAAATGAAAAGAAAAAAATTGAGCTTTTTAAAGATAACAAGGTAATCGGAATTGGATTTAAATTATTTATATTTTCCTAAGGAGAGGGACAAAGAGGGGAGCCAAGGTTTTAGCTACCCCACCACAGCCCACAAAGAAGATTCGTGTGGAGGCCACCCCAGAGGAAAAATCTGTTGGTACAGAAGTAATAGCTGCTGTAGCCACCCCTGCCTCCCCAGCTCCTGCTAAATCCCCTGTAGCTAGAAGAGGGTGGGTATAAATCAATACAGGTCTGAAAAATCAGATGTAATGATATAGATAAAGAAATAGTGTGTGTATTTCATACAAACTTGCTTTTTTAAGAAAACTATAAAAAGATATAGTTTCTAATTTGTTGTGAAATGAGTTTCATGCTTATAAAAAAGTTAAAGAGAATGGAGAAAAACTGATCCAATTTTTATACATATTACAGAGGCAGAACAGCAAAGAAGACTCCTGCCAAAAAAGCAACCCCAGTCAAGCAGAGGAAAGGTAAATAACAATTCTGGATAAGGAAATCTTCAAGTGCATGCGTAGCATTTTTATACCCAGATACCTGAGATACAAGGAAAAACAAAGAATTTTTCTGTTCCCTTGTTTACCATATCGATTTTTACATGGTAACATTTAATTTTAAATGCTGTACTTTGTTGACAAAAAAAAAATCATTTAAACTTCAATATGTTTCTCAAATTCCTTCAAAGCTTTTATAAACTTTAACCAAAATAATCCTGTGTACTTTGGAAAATTTCAATTTTCATTGGTCTATTGAATTTTCTAAATTTTAGTATGTGCTGACAACATATATATAAGCATTGCCTGTATCACTTGTTTCATTAAAAAAACGAAGAAGCATAAAAAATGATAGTCATAAGACAAAAAAAATTACAAAGGTTGACTACAGTTATTTTACTGTGTATTTTATTCATGGTAGATGCCCTGAAAAGGAGAGGAAGACAGACCCAGGCGACTGTTCCTGTGTCTCCAGCAACAGTGCAGACATCTCCCAAGCCTGTGGCTATTGTGGCACCAATGAGTGCTAAGAAAAAAGTTGAGGAAGAGGTGGTGAAACCAGTCAAGAATGGAAAGGATAAAGAGCCTGTGGTTAGCATCACACCAATGAAGAAGGCTGTGGAGAAGGAGCAGAAACGTGCAACAAAGGCTTCTGCGAAGAAAGCAGCAACACCTGTCAAGGAATCTCCCAAACCTACACCTAAAAAGCGTGCTACAAGAGGAAAGGCAGCTAAAGTAGCCACTGAAGAGGAGAGTACGCCTGTTAAAGTTAGTCCAGTCAAAGGTAGAGCCACTAGGAGGAAAGCTGCAGCAAAACCCACACCAAAGAAGGCAGCTTCTCCTGCTAAACCAGTTGCACAGAAAAGAGGTAGAGAAGTAGCTAAAGAGGATGAGGTTGAAGCCGTTGCAAAATGTCAGAAAATGGAGGAACCTGCTTCCCCTGTCAAGGAAAGTCCAGTGAAGGGACGAGCAACTAGAGGAAAGAAAACAGCAACTGCTAAAAAAGTTACACCTAAAAAGGCAGTCAAGGCAGCCTCGCCTGCCAAACCAGCAACACCAGCAGTTAGTACTAAAAAGAGGACAGTTCGGGGAAAGAAAGCTGCAGAAGCAGAGACACAAGAAGTAATAGCAGCAACTCCTGCAGTTAGTCCTAAAGCTACCAGAAGAGGTGGAAGGGCAGCCACTGCAAAGAAAGCAACTCCTCAAAAAGCTGCAGCAGTAAAAACTTCAGGGAAAGAGAAAGTTGCCACACCAGCAGTTAGTCCAAAGACAACCAGAAGAGGTGGAAGAGGGAAGAAAGCAACTCAAAAAGCAGCACCAGTGAAATCTGCCGTGGAAGAGAAAGTTGCCACACCAGCAGTTACTCCCAAGACTACCAGAAGAGGTGGAAGAAAAGCTGTTGCAAAGAAAGCAACTCCCCAGAAAGTAGCACAAGTGAAAACTGCAGTAGAAGAGAAAGCTACAACCCCAGTAGCAAGTCCCAAAATGAGCAGAGCAACCAAGCGTAAAGCAGAGAAAGAAGCTACCCCAAAGAAGGAAGCACCAGTTGCAGTGAGTCCAGTGAAAAGAGCTACAAGAGGTAAAGCTGCTAAAGCAACACCCAAGAAAACTGCAACTCCTGCTGCTTCTCGTAAAAGAGCTACTAAGGGAAAAGCATCAGAGGGCCCAAGTTCACCCAAACAGCAGAAAACAACTGAAGAGCCTGTTGTTGTCAGTCCTGTAAAAGCAAGGAGAGGGAGAGGAAAGGCTGTTGTTACAAAAGCAGCAACTCCAAAGAAGGCCATCAAGAGCAAAGCTCCATCTCCAGTTAAAGATGCACCTGCAGAAGTAACACCAGAAAGCCCAGTCACAAAAACTACGCGAGGCAAGAAAGCTGCAGCCCCAAAACAAAGTAAAGTTGCTACACCAGTGAAAGAAGCCAGTCCTGTAAAATCAAGAGCAACCAGAGGCAAGGCAGCAGGGAAGCCTGCCAAAGCAACACCTAAAAAAGCAACAAAAAGCAAAGCAGCTGCACCTGAGAAATCAGTTCCCACTCCCAAGGTTTCCCCAAGAAAACTAGAGGCAAAGCTGCAGCAAAATCACCAACTCCAGCTAAAAGGACGACACGGTTACGAAGGAAGTGAAGTGTGAATTCTGATATTTTTTGACTGCCAATTCTTCGTGTAAAAAATGTATTTTATGTATTTATTGTAAAAGTTTTATAAATGGCAATCTCATCAAATGCCGGAGATATTTATATAAATATTTACTGGTGTAAGTAACAAAATTTTTAAGAATGGGCAATTTTTTTTTAATTCAGGCAGCAGCCACAATTGTGTTCATTAGAGTATTTTTTTTAAGCATTGGATGTACATTCTTATCCAGTTTGAACCTGAATAATTTGGAAACAATCTTGAAGATGAAAATGTCCATTTTACTTTTCAGTGGCAAATAAGATTGTATATTTATTCTGTGTATATTGTGAGAGAGTAGTCAGTTTGCATGAAAATTCAGGTAATTTTAGAATTGTATAGATATTTATGTATAGTCATCTCAAAACTTTCTTTCTCTCTCTTTTTCAGTCACTTTTTCATGTACCTGTATTGTGTTCAAGAAACATTACATATTTTTATGCTGATCATTTTATTAATCCTTCATTTTATAATCTGCTTGTTATGGTAGTTTTGATTTATAGTGTTGTAACCATAATTTTATCATCTGATATTTTTAGTAGTGCAGATCATTTCATCATTGTGTATGTTATCTTTTGTCCTTGTGCATTGATATTAGTATTTATGTAGCCAAAAATAGTAGAATACAGAGAAAATACACCAGCAAAGCTGGGAATAGATCTTAAGTATATCATTCATTAGGATGTTGTCTCGCATCCATTTTTTATGGTGCCAACAATGTACAACCAAGTTTGCATTTAATCAGTTTTGACTAAAGTTCAATTATAAGATTTGACAATGATTTTTATCATCTCGTATCTTCAAATATTACAAATTTTACATTAAAAAAAAAGGGATTAATACCACTTGCAATTCTCTGTAGATGGGTTTCACCTTTTGGATGAAAGAATAAAATATGGAAATAATTCGTGATTTTTTTTTTCTCTGTTGCTGCCTAATCTATAAAGGTAAACAAAGAATTGTACCCTGCTCTCATTGTCTCTGTGGGTAAGATATTTTTTTTGGCACATTGTGACAAATATGGACATCCTATCATATGTTTTTGTTGTTGAAAAATTGGGTCAAACATGAAGGTCGAAAGGTCAGAAAACGACAATATCTTGTCACAGGTAACAAATATGAAGGCCTTATCTCTTCTCAAAAGTTTTTAAGGAGGAAAAAATATGAAAGGTACAGTGTAGGTCAAACCTCAAGGTCATGGGGTCGTAAATAATGTGTTTAGAAAGGTCTTGTCACAGGTGGTGTACATGTGAAATAAAGTCCTGTCTCTTCTCATTCAAAACTAGATCAAACTTCAAGGTAACTTGGTCAAAAAGCATGTAATAAATTATTAGAAAGGACGTCACAGGTAATATATAGTTATAATTTTAAAGCCATATCTCTTCTCATTCAAAAGTTATGGCCGATTTAAACTTTTTAAAATAATGTTTTTTAAAAAAAAGTTGGAAGTATGTCAAATTTAAAAAGGTCTCGAGGTCAAAAATCAAAATGGATTTAGAAAGGTCTCGTTACAAGTTATACACATGACGTGTAATATGATTGAAGTCCGAATTCAAAAGATCTGACCAATTGCAAGGTTTAAGTTTTTGTGATGGACATGCCCCCCCCCCCCCCCCTCGCTTTCGTGATTTTCCCATTTCTAAGAACGAGGGCGCTTTTGATTGGCATTCGGCAGGAATCGGGCGTAATTGAAAAGTGAAAATTTTATCGACATGTCACATGAAATTTTTACATTTTTTTTTATTTATGGGGTTCCTGTGCCACAGGAAAGAAAAATATTTTCCCGAAATTGAGCTTTGATTTGCTAAACTTGAAAACTGGCCAGATCAGACATTTGGTACAAAATGGTACATTTTACACATGACGTGTAATATGATTGAAGTCCGAATTCAAAAGATCTGACCAATTGCAAGGTTTAAGTTTTTGTGATGGACATGCCCCCCCCCTCGCTTTCGCGATTTTCCCATTTCTAAGAACGAGGGCGCTTTTGATTGGCATTCGGCAGGAATCTGGGCGTAATTGAAAAGTGAAAATTTTATCGACATGTCACATGAAATTTTTACATTTTTTTATTTATCGGGTTCCTGTGCAACAGGAAAGAAAAAATATTTTCCCGAAATTGAGCTTTGATTTGCTAAAAAATAACTTGAAAATTGGCCAGATCAGACATTTGGTACAAAATGGTACATTTTTAAACGTTTTTTCTTCTATCTCTTGGGTCTTCTCTCCATTATTTTTTAACGTTATTTGTATGTAATTTAATTCAAAGAAACGAATACACATTTTTGAAAAATGGAGAGAAGACCCAGAGACCACGAAAAATGAACTTTTCACCAAAAATCCAAATATGTAGAAATGTGGTGATCAGCTTTGTTTGTGTAGCGGCGATAGCTCAGCAAGTTTTGCTACCTGTTCAGTGCACTTGAAGTGAAAAGTTTTTTGGTTCGAGCCTTGCATGGGGCGTTAATTATTTTTTCATGCAAACAACCATTTATTTTGTCAGTTTCGTTTTATATACTGATGTATTAAAATTTTGAATTAGATAAATTTTGGTTCAGTTTGGTTCTTGAGCGAAATCAATTCCAATCTTCTTTACTTCGTATCAAGAATCCATACATTAAATATTTAGGTGTTAATTTTTGTGAAACATTACTGTGTTATAGTACCCCCTAGGAAAAACGGACATATTGAATGTTACAATCTCACAAAGTCTTTCAAACTTAATGAAAAAAAAACCCTATGGACGTGTTTGTAAAATCTGACCAGCTATGATCAGCCAACCAAATTATGGACATTTAAAGGTACTTGGACACATATTTGAAGTCAATATTTTCTGTACAATATTACGACTTAAATATTTTAATAGCAGTTCACACAAAAATTAATAAAAAATCTTATTTGATTTAAAAATCATTAAAACTTCAATTTTTGGGCGGGTTTGATTGACACATCCTTGCACTTTCTCAAATTTTAACCTTATTCTTAATCCTTAGGAAATGTGGCAATATTGGTGTGTATTAATAAAAAATATTAAAACTTTTATCCAGAAAAATAATTTTATTCAGAGTAGAAATGTTAGGAAGCAAAACTCCTTCACAAGTATCGTCATTCTGGGGTAAGAGTTGTGTACAGATCTAGAGTTTAGCAAATCGAGTACACTCGTGTTATGTACACTGTTTTTGTAAACAGGGCACGAGTTCTGTCATTGTTAATGTTTACAATTCACCGGATGCGTTCAATAGTCACAGTCTGCTTACCACAACTGCACGGACTGACAATATATTGTGTGTTTGTTTAGTTTTCGAACATGTCTACTCTGAATTTTCTGGATTATAGTATTAATATTTTTCATTTATACACAACGAGATTGTCACTTTTCCTATATAAATATTAAGAATAGAATTAATTTGTGAAAGTGCAAGGATGTGTCAATCAAACCCGCCAAAAAATTTGAAATTTTACTATCTTTCACTTTAAATGAAATAAGATATTAAATTAATTTTTATGTGAAATGCTATTAAAATATATATAACTAAGTCGTAATATTATAGAGAAAATAATAACTTCAAATCTGTGTCCAAGTACCTTTAAACCATAAATGTTTCGTACAAATGATTCCTACAGATCACACGCCAAATGCGCCCATCTTAATTCTTTCAATCTTTGGAGCATCGCATTATAGCTGCAGAACTGTGAATTATGAATTTGTGAAAAATAAATGGCATCTTTAAATAATCTTCTTCCCAAGAACCACTGGACCAGGAGAGATGAAAATCATGTGGAAGCATCCTCAGGTAGTGTAGATTCAAGTTTGTTCAAATCATGATCCCCACGGGTAGGATGGGGCCACAATGGGGGATTAAAGTCAGAAAAAAGAATACATAGGAAAAGTCTTCTTTTTTTTAAATCTTCTTTTCAAGAACCACTGGGTCAGGAAAGATAAAACTTATGTGGAAGCATTCTTGGGTAGTGTAGAATCATGTTTGTTCAAATCATGATCCCCACGGGTAGGATGGGGCCACAATGAGTCAGGAAAGATAAAACTTATGTGGAAGCATTCTTGGGTAGTGTAGAATCAAGTTTGTTCAAATCATGACCCCCGTGGATAGGGTGGTCACAACGAAAAAAATCAAAGTTTTGCATAGGAATATATAGGAAAATTCTTTTTAAAATCTCAAGAACATCCGGGTCAGGAACGATCAAACTTATGTGGAAACACGCATCTTCTTTAGGAGAACAGGAAACGTAAGACATGATTGGTCATATTTAAATGGAAGTTTCCTCGGTTAATTTAGAATCAAGTCTGTTCAAATCATGACGGGGGGGGGGGGGGGGCGTTAGGGCTTGGACACGTACAATAAACGAGTTTTATTTATAGGAATATATAGGGAAAATCTTCTATAGAATGGAAAGGTCATAGTCTCATTGTCCCCCGCTTTCGCGAAAGCGAGGGGACATTAAATCTCATTCGTCTGTCCGTCGTCCGCCAGTCTGTCAGTCTGTAAGTCTGTCAGTCTGTCCGTCACAAAAACTTTAACCTTGCCCATAACTTTTGATTTAGTGGCTATGACTTTCATATTACACATGTGTATTCCTTGTGTCAAGACCTTTCTTTGGGTACCACCAAATTTGACCTTTTGACCTTGAACTTGGAGTTTAAACTACTTTTACTAAAAGATTCCAAACTTTTACTTTGGCCATAACTTTTGAATGGTAGGTACTAGGACTTTCATATTTCACATGTGTATTTTTTGTGGCAAGACCTTTCATTAGATACCAACAACCTTGACCTTTTGACCTTGACCATGGAGTTTCACGTACTTACGCAAAAAAACTTTAACCTTGACCATAACTTTTGAACGGCGAGAGCTAGGGCTTTCGTACTTCATATATGTAATCATTGTGAAAAGACCTTCCATTATGTACCAACAACTTTTACCCTTTGACCTTGACCTTGGAGTTTTAACTACTTTTTAAACTTTAACCTTGGTTACAACTTTTTAGCTCACCTGAGCCGAAGGCTCAAGTGAGCTTTTCTGATCACATTTTTGTCCGGCGTCCGTCTGTCCGTCTGTCTGTCCGTCTGTCTGTCTGTAAACTTTTCACATTTTCGACTTCTTCTCAAGAACCGCTGGGCCAATTTCAACCAAACTTGCCACAAAGTATCCTTGGGTGAAGATTCAAGTTTGTTCAAATGAAGGGCCACGCCCTTATTCAAGGGGAGATAATTGGGAATTAATGAAAATTTAGTGGTATATTTTAAAAATCTTCTTCTCAAGAACCACTGTGCCAGGAAAGATGAAACTTATGGGGAAACATCATCAGGTAATGTAGATTCAAGTTTGTTCAAATCATGACCCCCGGGGGTAGGGCGGGGCCAAAATGGCCGACCAAAGTTTTACATAGAAATATATAGGAAAATTCTTTAAAAATCTTCTTCTCAAGAATGACAAAGCCATAATTCATCATATTTATATGGAAGCATGCTCAGGTAGTGTAGATTCAAGTTTGTTCAAATCATGACCCCCGGGGGTAGGGCGGGGCCAAAATGGCCGACCAAAGATTTACATAGAAATATATTGGAAAATTCTTTCAAAATCTTCTTCTCAAGAATGACAAAGCCATAATTCATCATATTTATATGGGAGCATGCTCATGTAGTGTAGATTCAAGTTTGTTCAAATCATGACCCCCCGGGTAAGGGCGGGGCCAAAATGGCCGACCAAAGTTTTACATAGAAATATATAGGAAAATTCTTTAAAAATCTTCTTCTCAAGAATGACAAAGCCATAATTCATCATATTTATATGGAAACATGCTCAGGTAGTGTAGATTCAAGTTTTCAAATCATGACCCCCGGGGGTAGGGCGGGGCCAAAATGGCCGACCAAAGTTTTACATAGATT